AACATTATCATTTTCTGGCCAATGACGATTTGCATATGAATCACGATCAATTAATATACCAGCACCTTCACCAGCAAGTGAATATTCTACCATTTTTAATCTACAAAAACAAAAAAAATAAATTTAAATAAATATGTAAAATAAAAGGTTTTATTAATTTATTTTTATTTTAGAGTACAGTAGGTATAAGATCAGCCGATGGTAATGTTCCAGCAAGTTTATGTAGATTCCAATAATTTTCAGAAAAAAATCTTTCCTATTTCAGTTTCGTTATCATGATACCAAGTATATTCAAGTTGTTCTGTATTTAAAGAACTATTCAATTTTGGTAAATCAAACGATAAAGGTAGATCACGATCAAAACGAGTAAGATCGGGTATGCTTACAGTGACACTATCACCTAATTTATCTAAATGAGGTTTTTCATCAAGTCATCGTGATGGATCTAAAAGACAATGATAAGATGAAGACATTGACTAAAGAGTATAAGTTGTAGCCACATGATCTTGATAAAGATCTGATCGGCAAATTAACAGTGAATAATTGAATATATTGTTTGTCATATATGAAGATGATATTCATTTTCTAAACGATCATATTCCCAACTGAATATATACCTGATTGATTTACAAATGGAACATGAACTTCTGTCAAATTTATCTACAATCAAATGAATAAATGTAAAAAATAATATATGATTATATGCATTTTAAAAATAACAATAATAAAAAGAAAAAACTTGCCTTTTTTTTTTATTCTTTTCTCTATTGAATCGTCTACACAACACAAGACAAACATAATGTTCTCTCCAGTCTTCGAAAACATGTACATCCATTAAATAAAATAACAATCATTATTGTTTTCATATTTTTTTGTTTTACCAAAAATGAATTTATGCCATTTTTCTTTTCTACTTCTAAGCAACACTCTTCTCTATGATTTCTTCTCGTATATCATTCGTTAGTTAAATTAACCAGTCATTTCTTGATCGTTTTTTTTCTTCGTCTTTGATTCGTAACTTTTTCGATATTTAATTTTATACGAAGAAAATAAAAAAATCTTACTTCAATTTTGATCATGGCACAACAAATATACAAATTATTCATTCGAAATTTACCATGGACTGTATCATCACATGAATTACGTACTTATTTTTCTCAATTTGGTTATGTAACACGTGCAACTGTTTTATACAATAATGATACAGGTTTAAGTCGTGGTTTTGGTTATGTAGATTTTAATAAACGAGAAGCATTTGAAACAGTTATGTCTCAACCACAACATATTCTTGAAGGACAACGTCTACGTGTTGAAGAAGGTTCATCAAAACGACGTTATTCTAATAAAGATGATTCATTATCAATGAATTATGATAAAAAACAAGAGAATACAAATATTCAACAAGAAGAACAATTTTAATCTAGCATTGTTTTGTTTTGTTTTTTTTATAGGAAATATAAACAAAAAAAAAAAAAAAAAAATCAATTGTTTGTTCTTCTAATAGTGATTGATTTTTGTTTTGTAGATATAGAATAATTTCGATGAATTTTTTTAAAGATATTCTATATAATTCTGTTAATTAAAGATAGTATTTACATTTTAAAATATTATCATTTTAACAAAGATACTTTTCATCAATATTCAAAATATGACGAGTAAATGTATGTGATAGTTTATATAGGTAAATGTTATATTATTATTATTAAGAAATGATAACTCTTATGTTTTATTATTATTTTTAATCTATTTCAAAATAATCATTTTATCGTATTATGAAACATTGATATTTTTTTTATGATTTTTTTGCTGTATTTCGGTCTTATACCATCTATGACATGAGTTAATTCATGTCTTTTATATTGCGTTAACTTGCTTATTGATAATTTGAAATGCGTAGAATAAAATAAATAAAGTCCTTTTGTTTTCTTTCATTTTTACTAAGTTACTTATCAATAATAACTTGAAAAATAATATTCATTTTCATTAAAAATATTCTTTATCCTCCTTTGCTTGTAGTCAAAAAATAAACAATATTTATATTCGTTCTTTCATTGGACTCTTCTGGTCCAGTCCTATTTTTTTTTAAGAAAAGAAGAAAGAATACTTGATAAAAGATATCTATATTATCAGAGATATAAAACTAAATTATTTTAAAAATAGGTTTTTTTTTTAACATGCTTTATTTTTAGCAGATACGAGTTATATGCAATACATATATACATATATGAATCGGTTCTTTTGAAATAAATAGACGTTATATTCATTTTTTTTCTTTGTCTTTTCTTGTTTTTCTTTTCTGCCTATTATTACATCTGTTCATAATAGTTACAGTCTATTTTATTCGATGCAATATCAGTATTCTTTAGTTGATCGTATAACAAAGTGCACATATATATATATAGATATACTTTAATCCATCTATTATATTTCATTGAATGAATCATCTAGTTGTCTTTGTTTATCTTTTGATGAATCATCTGAATAACATTCGATCAGTGCAAATTATTTTTCTTTTTTTTTTTTTTTTCATTTCATATTCTAGATTAAAAAAGAAATGGATGATCCATCAGTGGATGTAAATCCAACTGTTCCTTCGGGAACTAGTAATACACCACCAACAGCAAATGTATCTTTAGCTGATTTAGATACATTTGTTAATTATTTAAAACGTGTTTGTGCACCAATACTTGATTCATCACTTGAAAATACAAATGATATTGAACGACTTTTTACAGATCGTTCATCAATTGATTGTATTAAAAAATTTATAAGTGATGTTCAATGTCAAACAATACTTATTTCAAAAACAATAACAGTTAAAGAAGATCCAACATTAACTGAAACTGATCCAACAACAAATTCATCTGGTGATACGTTAACAATAAATTCATCATCATCATCATCATCAACATCATCATCATCATTAATACCAGATGGACTTTATACATTATCAACTGAAGTTCATTATATTAATCCAAAAATGCTTTCACTTGTTATTGTTAAACGTGGACAATTAATTGAAAGTGATAAAAAATTTCATACACAATTACGTATTATTAATTTAGTTGATTCAAGTCCATATGAAACATTACATGCATATATATCACATGTTATTGGCCCTTATTTTAAATCATATGTTCGAGAATCAGGCAAAAGTGAACGGTAAATTTTAATTCTTTTGCTTTTTTATTTTTATTTTTATTTTTTTTTCATAAAGTGATGGTGATAAAATGGCACCGACAATGGAAAAGAAAATAACTGAATTAGAAATGGGTTTACTTCATTTACAACAAAATATTGAAATACCAGAAGTTAATCTTGCTATACATCCAATTGTTAGTCAAGTTGCACAAAAATGTCTTAATGAAAGTCGTCGTCCTAAAGTTGATGATTTTAGTGAATATTTAGATAATACAGAATTTCTTAATTCACTTCAATCACATGTTAATCGTTGGGTTAGAGAAATTCAACGTGTAACTAAACTTCATGAAGATTCAATGAAAGGTTCAACACGACAAGAAATATCATTTTGGCTTAATCTTGAACGTGCATTAACACGTATACAAGAAAAACGTGAATCAGTTGAAGTACAATTAACATTTGATATACTTAAAACAGTTAAACGTTTTCATGCAACTGTTGGTTTTGATAATGATACAGGTTTAAAATCAGCTATGGATACAGTTAAAGATCATAGTGTATTAATGAAAGATTTTCCTATTAATGATCTTTTATCAGCAAATGAATTAGATAAAATTCGTACAGCATTAACAACAATATTTCAACATTTAAAAAAACTTCGTAGTACACGTTATCCAGTTAGTCGTGCTGGACGTTTAATGGAAGCTGTTTCACAAGATTTAATGCAACAAATGCTTAAAGTATTAAATACATATCGTTTAATGCATATTGGTTATACTGATTTTGAACGTATTGTTAAAGCATGTGATGATGTTTTTGCAACATGGGATGATGAATATGAACGTTTATCAACACAAGTACGTGATGTACGTCGTACAGCACGTACAAGTGATGTTAGAATGGCATGGCGTGTATCATTATCACATAAAAAATTACAACAACGTTTAGATCATATGAAACGTTTTCGTAAACAACATGAACAACTTCGTTCAGTTATTGATAGAGTTTTACTTCAACCAGTACCAACACCACTTCAACCACAAACATCAATTAATGATGAACAAGATAAAGATAATATTCAAACATCAACAAATGGACCATCAAATGAAACTCGTACAACAGTAACAGCTGCAAATGTTTTAAATGATGTTAATGCTATTGATGAAGTTAATATGGCATATGAAAGTGTTAAAGAAATTGATGCACTTGATGTTAGTAAAGAAGGACAAGATGCATGGGAAATGGCTATGAAACGGTAAAAAAAATAAAATAAAAAGAATGTTTTCTAT